ATGTTGAAGCGGATGTGCTTCGGACGTTTTTTTATCCAACAGGCTTTTGGGTCTCGCACGTTGCCCAAGATATTGTTGAGGCTTTTGGTGGTGACAGCTCGGGCTGTTTGCACCTTGCCCGTTGGGTGTTTCAGTGAGGCATCGCAAGGTCTTGTGCAGGTAGCCTCAGTCTTATGCGTCACACAAGTCTCTGCTTAGGCTCTCCATGGAGCTTGGAAAAGTATCAGAACATATCAGAACCCTAAACCCTAGTCAGCTCTGCATTCGGAAGTCAGGCTTTGGGGTGGATAAGACAAGATGCTTGGCACAGGTAGGCGGTGCTAAGGGCTCTTGTGAGCAAGTCGTCGCCTGCCTGTTTACACCGCAAACCACCAGCATCCTGAACCTATAAGCTTACAAGCCCTCACACTTGAAAAAAACAATGTCAAGGAAGGAGGAAAACCACAAGACAGTACAATCTAGAACGTCTGTGCCTCAAAAAACTGGCCAGGCAGCGGCAGCTTCTGTTGCAGAGGTCCCAAAAGACCTTGAAGTGCCTCAGGAGGCCGGGCAGGTTGAGTAGCCTGAACGGTCCCAAACTGGCCGCATTGCCCTAATCCTGGTGTCGCTGTAGGATATTACGGTATGATCTGGTGAGCAGGTATAACACAGAATGGTAAACCATACTTTAGTTTTCCTCGAAGCCACTTAGATGGGTTGGGGCGCCTGGGTGACCATTTGGGAGAACCTTAAAGCCTAAACCGCGTAAGTTCGGGATTCCTGCACGTCTGCTTTGTTCTCAGAATTTTTCAGCAGCAACTCCTTGGATTTTTAGCCCAGTGATATGCCCCAAAATCCTGAATCTTGAGCCCTAAGCATACGGGTGCTTGGGGGGGAGTGGGCGGGTGGATCCCCACAGCATTCCCAAGCAACTATAGCACCTCCATTCTGTCACCCAGCCACCCTTACGCACCAGCAGGTAAGTAAGTAAACGTAAAAACAAACCAATTCCCATCAATCCTGTATACCCCCATGTGCCCCCATATAACGCTCTCCCAAATACCCTACATATCCCTGTACCCCCGCATATAACGCAAATCCTGTGTACTCTACATATCCGCCCAAAACCCTAGCCCCTGGACCCCATCCCGATTTGCTGCACCACCCGCCTGCTGGAGACCGTTGCGCATGCAGAGCCAGTGCCCATAGCTACAGAGGCGGAGGGGGTTCAACATGTCTAATAACTTGATTTAGGGTTTGGGGTTTAGGATTTAGGGTTCAGGGGTAAGAGTTCAGGGGATAGGGTTTCAAGGATTACAGTTTAGGGTTCAGTTACCAGAATGAAGAATCGGATGAAAGATCATCTAGAAAATAAAATCAAGGTTGGGCTTTTATGAGGATATGCGCGCTTTATATATATATACAGATTTAATAGAAGGATGTTGGAAATGAGGTGGAAGTTGGCGTCATTTGACGGTTACTGAACAGATGTGTGATGGGTAAGAAGGACCTCCTAACCTTTATATGCTTCGAACAGGGTCTCAAGTTTGGCATCCAAAATATTCTTATCAACGTCCAATTGGGCAGGGCTTAGGATTCTGGGGTATGACAGGTTGCTAAGCGACCCTTTGGGTGCTCACACTTCTGTTTCTCTCCTTTCTAGGAGGGTCACAATGACCTGGGTATGAAAGAGGTTGGAGTTTTCAGTATGCAAGCTACTTAGAGCACCAATCATTGCAGCTCGGCAGCCGTGATCATCGAAAGCCTCTGAGGGAGAGGTCAGAGCCTGCTCATGGCTAGTCATTGCAGAACCAAGAGCTGTCTTCTCTGCACAGCATCTGAGCTATACTCTAAACTCCTTAAAGGGGGATATATAAGGGATTATATAGGGTACTACTATAGGGGTTATTAAGGGGGATACTAGGAGTTTAGACAGTGGCTCATCTGATGATGGCTGATATCTGATAGCTAAAGAGTTAGCAGGTGCTCCTCAAGGCACTAGACGCTTAAACTCTGGTGAATCAAAGCTTATCTCAAACCTACCAAAAGCCAGATCCGATGTCCTGAAGCAGCCAACCCACTTTAAAAGCAAGGCTCCAAATTGCATGCCCCGCTTAGTGTTCTGAACCGCTGAATGCTAACATCTTCCGAACTCATGAACCAGAGAACATGCATGTCTTTTAAGAGCTTTCCTGCTCTGTCCTAAGTTTGCAATCCAGTTTCCTAGGATTTGCTTAAGCAAGTGCTGGTGAATTTGCTGAGGGTCTCGCAGTAGACCTGCACCGCTGACACAGACTACTTACTTGTGGAACTTGATGGCCTTTTCTGAGTTTGGCTATAGGTCTACTATACCTCTCCCTTCAAAAAAATCTGACGTAAGCCCTACTCAAGGTTTTCCATGGTAGTCGGGGGGCACTGAGCCTGCAATGATCTGAGCACGTAATCCCCGAGAGGCACAGCAGCCATGTTTGCAAGAACTTGCGGACTGCGACGACGAGAAAGACCCGGTTAGGAGGTTTGAGGTTTGACACTTGAGGGTCCAGGGTTTTAGGATTTTGGTATTGTAGATTTCAGGTTTTAGGGCTCTAGGTTTCCCCAACAAGGGGTTTTAGATCTTGGGCTTTAGATCAGAGTCTCTCGCAGGGGGCGGACTTTAGGGTTTCCGGGGTTTGTGTCGAATGGCCGTGAGTCAAGCTCATAGAGGCTTCTGAAACTGATGGATTAGATTTTCAGGTTCAGGCGGTGAAATCTGGGTGGCTTTGAGGTAAAAAGGGCCCTTAGTTGCGAGCCAGATGCTAATAATGAACGATATGAACATGAGGTTCAAAAGCAAAGAAAGGTGCCCGGAGGAAGTCATGATGTTTGTTCAAGGCTACAGGTTCGATAGGTTGAATGGTGTCTCCCCTCAGCGAGTGAAGGGAAGGAGAAAGTGGAAATAATGCTCCGGTTCTTCCTTAGACCCACTGCTGCTGACAACTCGACCCTGACGTCTTAAAGTACACTGCGCTTGATTGCTACCTTTGAAAGGTAGAGAATGGCCAGGTGGTGCCCTGGATCCACATGTTGCGTCAACGCTCCCGATGCCAAGGGCTTCAAGACTCAAACTTGATGTTTTTCAATCTTCCGCAAATGGCAGTTACTCTTCACGACGCATTTCAATTTCGGCCAAACCCAGACTGTCCATGAGAACAATGGTCACCCTAAACTCCACACTGCAACAAGAACAACATAAACGCTGGCCATTTTTGTGCTGCGCACTGCAAACGCTATAGCGGAATTGAGCAGAACAAAGGAGCAGCAAGAGCCAAAGTACAGCTTGCATAAGAGAAGTCAATCCACTTACACCTCCCATGAAGGACCCCACGACAATCCCCGTGTTCTGCACACATAGCCCTGAAATCCTGAACGGTAGCAACACTTAGAGGATCAAAGACTCTAGGCACTGAACCCCTTAATTCTTCACTCTAATCCTGTCATCCCAAACCTTAGAGCCCTTCACTTCAAACGGTATTGTTCATCACCCTAACTTAAAGGCCAGTTTAAAGGGGCCCTAACCCCTAAACCCTAATAGATCACTCCAGGAGCCGCTGGCAGAGCCCAGCGCTGCCGAAGAGCTCCGTGGCAAAACCTCGAAGCCTTTTTCCG